TAAGGAAATATACGCAAGTGAAGAAATAAATAACAATAAAAGAAAATGTACCCGTGAATTTGGAAAACAGTTGTTGCGTTTCCTGCTGTGTAACTGCTGCTGCTGCTGCTGCTCTCTTCTTGGCTGGCCGTTGGCGTACTACGAGCTATGCACTGGCACAAGTGAAACCAATTGAAAGTTGTATCGCTTACACCACTTAATTGCGGTATTGGAATTTATTTCAGAAATGTTATAATTTTTAAATTATTGGTTAACAATATTTTTTTCTGCTACAACCATTTGAAAATCACAAATTTTGTTATTTTTTTTTTGATAACAAGAATTATTGGTGATTTGTTTTTTGCGTTTTTTCCAATTTAAATTGTTTGTAATTTACATAAATGTATGTATGCTTGTGTATTTTTGAAATTTCTTTACTCTCAACACTTTGAAAAGGAATTCTTCCACACAATTATTTCAAAAGCGCGTCGCTCTGAGCATTTAACTTTTGAAACGTTTGCTACGAGTATCCTTTGCAGACTGTTTGGTTTACGAGCTGTGACAGGGTTTTTGCTTGAAAAATTCTTAATGCGTGAATGGTGTGAAATGGCTACATATGTTTAGGCCCAAAAATTCACCACAGTTAATAGGTAAGGTGGCATGTAAAAAATGGCCAAGAGAGCTTTTTTTCGGGAGAGCAAGCAAAGCATGAATTCATGGCAATATATATATATATATATATATATGTATGTGTTTGTGTGTGAGTGTGTAAGTGTTCTATCTAAGGGTTGTTTTTGTTTTGTGCACCAACAAAAATATTCCTGGGTCTTTCACGCAAATGGCAAAAACAAACAAAAAAAATATGCCGCAAAGCTATGAATGAAAATACGAATTGCCCGAGATTACGCTAAACGAACTTTATACGCTGTCAACATGTTGCTGCAACAAATGTCGCGGAGTGCAGATGCATGGTTGTTGTTGACTAATGATATTGACTAACTGGTGTTGTATTTGTGGTAGGAGAGAGTAGAGTACTAGTGTTGTTGTAACAGCTTGCGCAACTCCACCTAGAAGCAGACAAAATTAGTCCATGTCGTCGAGATCTTGGAAATGAGCTGTTTCGATGGGTTCGGATCAGTGGGAGAGGAAAATTAGATAAGTGGATTTTAATTGGTATCCAAAAAGGTGTGTAGTATCGTACGAAAACTCAGAAAATACTTGCACTATATCGGCCTCGAGTTTTCATCGAAGAGAGTTGAGTCTACTGGAGTATCCAGACTTTAGCCAAATGTTAGCGTCGAATACAAACTTCGAATGGCCAGGGTATGAGTCCTGGTTCAACCAACATCCAAAAAATTTTTAGAATATTTATCTAATAACGATCGCACAGACAAAGACAAAACCTCGATAAAATCAAGCTCATAGTGACGGATGACACGAATCTAGTGTTTTAGTTGTGCGTAATCTCCCGGGTTCAACCATCCACTCAGACCACCGTCTTGTTGCATCAAAGATATGCACGTCAACAAATACAAGGGATGTTCGGCATCGAAAAGCTACAATCATAACCAAGTTCCATTCGACTTCTCTGTTCTCTGAAAAACCCAACACACTTGAAAAAACTACGGCCTGCCGCCAACGAAACTGTTGGTATTTAAACAAGGTCAAAAGAGTGTCGAGATAGGTTGACACGTGGGAGTATAAAGAGTTTGAGGCGATGGCTTTTAGCGGATATGCTTGAAAATCCCATGAAAAAATGAAACGATTCACAGGCGCTTACAAGACGGGATCAAAAAGGGCAATCTGATGGCTGATTATAGTGAGTTTATGGAAGGAAGACTTCTCAAGCTTGCTGAGCTGCAATGAAAATGAAACACAAAGAGATGTCAAACCCGAAACCTCAGTCGATGAACCGGATGTTGACAATCCATCCCGCTTGAAGAATAATAACATCAGTGACCTCCAATCTTGCCGGCTGAGCTCTCAAACATGGCGGCAAAAAAACTGGCAATTGGCTTTTTTGGCATTGGCTTTGGCAGGCATTGGCTTTTTTGCTGAACCATAAGAAGGATCTACGCAAATTAACGCGGAATTAGCTCTCTCATTATCGTATTAAATGTTCTGTCTGGTGCTTTGTGTGAAACTCTAAAATCCATCAGCGTTGATCCTTTTCTAATTTGTGGTTCACATCATATAAAAAATAGAGTGATGTACAATATTTTTGAAGCTGCCTCCGAACAGCTGATGGGGTTTTATGAGAAGTTTATTATTTCTCGACAGAAATGTAACACAAGTAGGTGCTCCCTATCGAGGAGCGACTGAGTTAATTGATTTTTCGCCAGTACTAAACAAGTAACGACGATATCGGCTGAATTTTTCCTGAATTCAGGAGTTGGTTTACCAGTCTAACAGCTACTTTGATTGAGTTTTGTAAAAGAACTGGAGGTGGAGGTTGACTAACCGATGAAAAATTTTAGAAAAAATTGTTTTTGACGGAAGAATTCCTGCATTTTGAGGCTGGTTTTGTAATGGTTCCTGGGATATACCTGTTCCAATGGAGATCCTTTTTTTTTTTTTTGAAAAAATATGAGACTCTTCGACTTCCAGATTACCCGCATACATGTCTTGGTTTCAGTGGTGTGTAAGACTCTTCAAATAAAGCCCCCTCTTGCATTTCCTTCACTTTTACGGAAATGTTTTGACACATTGGACGGCGTTGGGCTAACGTCTTACTTTGGTACATCCTACTTTTTTCGGAGCTCTTTCATACATTTTCTCCATGAAACAATCGAAAAGTTCGCAAACTGTTTAACTAATTCCCCACACCTGACACCTTAACTCCAAACTATGTCCTTCACCAATGTATATTTTGTTGCTGCCCTTGGCTGGCATATACTCAATGCACAGGCGCAATAATCCCATACGGACAAAGATACATACGTAAAACACGACTTCTGTTTTTACTCAATTTCAACCACTCACTCCTAGACCGTCTTTGGTTCGAAAACAAACTGTTGGACGCGGCTCAAGAAAAGAAAAAATTGAAAAAAATGCTACAAAATCAAAATAGCCGAAATATACTTAACAACAATGCACATAGAACAACAATAAAATAAACACAGAAAATGATAAAGCTCACGCGTGGGCAGCAGTAGAGGAATGTCATACACCAAAGCACAATGCACATTGGTTAAGTACACTTAAACCCGCGTGCTTTGGAAAAGTATGAGAAGTCAAGTGATGAAAAGCATAGTAGATGCTGAATGAGTAAAGAGGAATTAAAATACAATAGTTTGATGGATGGACGGATGAATATACTCTGATGTCTGATTGGACAAGTTCTTTTATTGGATTCACCACACAGTTCATATGACAATGGGTTAAAAATTGGGCATGTCACTGATAAGGCGGAAACCCAATTTTTCTTGGAACAAATTTTGTTATCTCAATGAATTTTGTTAATTATTTAGTAGAAATAATTTTTAGCACAGTTTACTAATAAAAGATTGTCATAAACAAAAATGAGTCTCTTCAGATCAAAGTTTATTACATTCCAATACTTTTTTTTTTATTAAAAAAAAAACAAAAATATGAATAATGATTTAAACGGTTTTCCCTGGGTATATGCTGGTTTTAATCATTATTTGAACTGGCATTTGGCTGCCATGACTTCATAATTTGACTTCCATGACTAAAATAAAAAAAAAATACATCAGTCATTTGTAAGGAAAATAAATAAATACAAATATTAATATGTCGGCTGCGATAGCCGACTATTTAGCACTGCCGTTCGGAAAGCCATGGTCCGACCAATATCCAAAAATTATTGAAAATTATATTAAATAAAACAATTCAGTTAAATTTTCTAATTGCGAACCCCTTGGCAAGAAATGTTAACCCCTTCGAGTGTATTCATGACACGAAATAAAGGCTTGTCTCGAAAAACTATCTGCCGTTAGGAGGTGGCTTAGTATAAATTGTAGCTCCCTCCATTTGTTGCTAAAACATCAAGACGCATACCTCAAATTAGAGTAAGAGTTCGGCCGAAAATCGTTTCAGCGGTTACAATGCGCCAATTATAAATATATACATTTATTTATATTAATATGCCAAGACTACTCAAAATATACTTTCTTTTTTGTTATTTAATTTTATTTTATTAAGTTTTATTTATATTATTATAATTTCAATTATTTTATTTTGTTTAACTTTATTTTTTTCATTTATTTTGTTTTATTTTATTTTCTTTTAATTTATTTTGTTTCATTTAATTTTAATTTATTTTATTTTATTTTAGTTTATCTTAATTTATTTTATTTTATTTTAGTTTATTTTATTTCATTTCATTTCATTTCATTTTATTTCTTTTCATTTCATTTAATTTCATTTCATTTCATTTCATTTCATTTCATTTCATTTCATTTCATTTCATTTCATTTTATTTTATTTTATTTTATTTTATTTTATTTTATTTTATTTTATTTTATTTTATTTTATTTTATTTTATTTTATTTTATTTTATTTTATTTCATTATTTATTATTATTTATTTACATATTCATACTTGCATCAGAAGCTGCGATCGAGCATACATGTAAATAAATTGAATACATGTTTAGGGTATCCACAACACGTTTTCTTAGCTATCAATGAATGTAAATTCCCATTGAATCATGCTTAAGTATTTATATGCATACATACATATGTACACTCATATATAGCTTGAGAGCTATGAGTGGTTTGAAATACTACAATAAATCAAAAATGATGTTATGAAACAAAACTGTTGCTTAGACTTACATACAAATTGATGATATAAATGTATCCATGTATGTATATGATATATAAGGAACGTAATATTTGTATTAAAAAATGTGCAATTGCTGATTATCATTTCTTTATATTTGCAGAACGATCAAGTCTTAAATGAGTGTGCTCTGAGTATATTTTTTATATATAAATACTGTTTGTATGTAATAGTTTTCAACTTGAGCTTTACAATCGAATTGTATTGGAAAAATTTTCTTTCAGCTCATTACAAGCTGTGCGAGTAAAGCGCACTAACGCATAACGCATAGCGATAGTATTTAACGGCATTTTTAGAAAACTCTTACAATGGAAGACCGAGCAATAAGTTGGCATTAGTAAGTTGTGAAGTGTAAAGGAGATACTAACATTTTATAATTATTAATTTTAAATTTTACAGTATTTTGCTAATTTCATTACTGCAAATATTCTTGTTAACACTTCCGATTGACGGTTCAAGGATTGTCTTCAAGGTGGACGAGGAATATGAAGGCAAAAATTGTACTGCACCGAATGGTTCGACTGGTATTTGTTTGTCCTATAACAAATGTCGTGATTTAACGCAATGGAAAGTGCAAAATAATTTACGAAACAAAAGTGATTTGCTAAAAATGTTTTGCGGCAATAGTGTGAGTAGAAACTAAAATACAATTTATCTAATTTTGGGCCAAACGCGACAAACTGTCTCCAGCTTACAAATTCGTAAAAACCTTTTTTCGAAAATTATTTTTGGATAACACACTTTAAAGAATTTTATTTAAAATAACAAAAATAATTTGTTAGTTATCGGCCAGTAAATTCAAAGCGACTTCCTGCCTGCCTGCTTTTATACAGCTTGTTGTAGTTTATGGGCGTTATAATGTTTGAACGGGCAGAGAATATTCTTATATGCTTAAATTAAAGGGTTTAGAAAACTTTATTTACCATTTCTATACATATGTAATTTGGCGCTTAATAGTTGTTGAAGTGAATTTCGGGCGAGCTGCACCTCCTTCAATTTCCTGAGTTGCCATTTTCTGTTGCAGAGCTAGCGTATTTACAAAAACCATTTTTCCACAAAATTAGCTTACTCGCCAAGCGGAGGCAGCAGTTACAACCTTATTAAAATAACTTTTTCACTTAAAATCAATTTTGTTTTGTTAACAGCTAGTTTTAAATCTTAATAAATATATCAGAGTCTTATTTGTGCTGTTTTGACACATAACAGAGTAATTCATATGAAATATAAAAACTATTAACAGTTTAGCTGGTTCTGCCTGTGTTTACTTATTTAATATATGTTGTATGTGCATATAAAAATTTGCAGGACTAGTTTGCGGGCATGTCTCTTCAGTCTTTAATCAAGCCTAACTATAATAGTCTACAATGGACGCAGTATTTAGAAGTTGAACAAATTGGAGTGATATATCTTAACTGTTCACTTAACAACTTTTAACCAGCTTGGTAAGTCAAGCCAAAAAGGGCATTAAAATTTTATTTTAAAGCGCAACAGTTCTAACTCGAAATCCTAAGTATTCATTTAATTGAATATAAGCTGAATATTACTTAGCAAATGTAAATGGTATATTGTAGGCGTTAGTTTTGATTTTAAGGTGCAAAATCGTACGCAAGTGCCACGCAGTCCGCAGGAGCTGATCGCGAATTAATATATTGACAACAATTTCTGTTTCACATCAATAGAAAAAATATTGTATGCTTTAGTTTCCAAGAACAGGACAATCTTCAAAAAACTCTTATTTGCAAAAAGAGTTAGTTATTTTTTAACTTTGGCTAAATTTCACTGGCATTTCTGTAGTATCGGTATGGAGATAAATGATAAAAGTCGATAATGTATCGATTCAATTTCAAATCAGTGCTTTAATGTAAATAATTATTAATTTTGCATAGTTTTTAATATTTCTCTTTAAAGCGTATTATTGTCTGCTGCAATCAAACCAATCCCTACTACTCTGACAGCAATTATATATCGAAATTAAATCCTAAAGGCTTGGCCATACTTGAAGCTGTGGAATGTAGTCGACCAAAAGGCGATCGTATATCTAAGGGGAAAAAAGTGGCAATGGGTGAATATCCATTTATGGCGACATTAGAATATAATGTCGAAGGTCGTAGATTTCTCTGTGCTGGTACATTGTTAACATCCAGATTTGTGTTGACGGCAGCGCATTGCATACATTCGCATTTGTAAGTGTCTACTTTCGTTTGAACTATTACTTGCCAAATATTTATTAAACTTGTTTTATTTTGTTTTTATTTTTTTTTTTTTTTTAATCTAGAATAAGCGTACGCTTGGGTGAACATGATTTATCGACGGAAATCGATTGTACGCCGAGCAGTCTGCGCTTGTGCTTGCCAAAGCCTGAGGATTACAAAATTGAAAAGACCATCATACATCCCGATTATATGAAACCACGATTTGCAAATGATATAGCCTTAATCAAATTGGATCGTGATGTAATAAGAACTGGTGAGGAATTAGTTTTGATTAATTGCTATAAAGTTTTACAATTCTCAATTAATTTTTTTAGTCAATACTAAGCCAATCTGCTTGCCCATAACACAACTAGTTTATGACAACAGCGATTCAATAGATTATTATAAAATTGCGGGTTGGGGACGTACTGAAAATGGTAAGTTGGAAGTTTGCGACTATATACATACGTAAATGTATGTACTAATTAATTTATAATTATTTCCACTCTAAAGGCACCAACACGGACGTTTTGCAACATGCAGAAATCCCCCATCAAAAACGTGAAGTTTGTCAGAATATCTTCAAGCAAGCGGGCGTAGAAATTACAGACAATCAGATTTGTGCTGGCGGTGAGAATGAAGTTGATACTTGTAAAGGTGATTCTGGTGGTCCTCTATTTGCTATGGTACCATTTACGAAACTCGGTGAAACTGAAATAAATCGACAAGTACAATTCGGTATTGTTTCGTTCGGTTTGAGTGGTTGTGGTGGTAAAACTGCAAGGGCGGCGGTGTATACGAATTTATTTTCCTTTATGCCTTGGATCACGGATATTATAGCGAATAATGCGTAGCTTATTTATGAATAAAAAATTATTTATATTATTTGTTATATTGTAATTAGTAAGTATTATTGAGTTATTCTCAAAATTATAGATACAATAAATTAATAACTTACTCGCTAAGAATTCAAAACATCGGAAAATCTGTCAAAACGTACCGGAAGTAACGGAAACGCCATGTACAAAATATTCAACTCAGCTGTTTTCTTTATATTTGTTGCTTTTATTTTACATGACGCGTGGCATTTTTAATTTGGCCAGCAAATCAAAAAACGGTGACGTTGTGTCACACAAATAGAAATTAGAAATTAAATTTTTGCAGTTTGGAGTCGCCCTTCGGTGGGGAATTTCATGCTTAGATAATATATTGAGATTTAAAACTTTTATTATGTTTCTCGCCTGGCAAATTCTTATACTTTTTTATGGATGTTACATCGTTAATGTAATTAAAGCCAACAACTTATTCAGTGTGAAAAAACAACAAAGCTAACGGTTCTTTAATGAATGTCTGCTATTCAGCAGGTTAAAGAATTATTCCCTCCAAAAGTTCAGCATGCTCTGGACGTCCGACATCTGATTATCTTCTTGATTCCTTCACGAGTATGCGGCAGTCTTTAAACTTTATGTAAGTTGCAATTTCGAGCAGATAGCATGCATTACGGTTTCTTCCGTTCTCAATCTGCGACAGCGTCTGGGGTTGAATCGATCGGACTGTTGCGAGACTGGCAGTATTTTTATGCGAACAGACCGGACTTTTTGTTTTTCGGTATTCTGACTTTTTACTTCGATTAAAAAATTATTTATTGCGGACTCATTACACAAAACTAAGTATTTTTTAATATTAAACGAAATATATTGGCAACTGGATCGAAGTTCAATAAAACCACCAAATGTGGAAATACATGCTATGTGATCAATGCGCCATAAGTGCTTAAGTTTTCTTTAAACCGACACACCCTGTTGCCTTACATTACACGAAGCTGGGTGTTGACATTGAATCAAAACAACAAAAATACAAAAGATAAAACTGACAGTAGTGGCAGCGATAGTAGCAGAGGCAGAAAAAGTTGAAAATTGTTATAATTAGATTTATAATAGGAAATAAAGCAATGTCAATTAAAATCAAAGCAATAATTGAATAAAAATAACCAATAAAAGCCTCGGAGGTGTAATTCCATAGAGAAAAAGTACTTAGGCAAAAACAAACAAATAAGATTTAATTTACTAAAGTGACAACAACGACGGTGGCGAAGTAGACGACCTCCATTCAAGGAAGAAGCGAATTCCAAAAATTGTGGAAAACCAAAGTGTGTCTAAACAGTGCTATCACACTAAATTAAACAAAATAAAAAAAATCTCAAACAGATGTGCAATTTAATTAAGTAAATAAATAAAATCAACTTGTATATAAAGTAATGGCCGGCAGAATGCGTAACACAACAAAAGTTGAGGCACTTATTGAAAGCTGTCGCAGTGAAGGGAAATGGCAACGAGTCATCGAGCTGACAGAGGAACTTAAAACGGGCTCGCCAAATAATGGTGAGTGTGTAAGACAATAAATGTAAAGTAGCGAAATGCTTAATTAAATTAGCAAATAAAAAAAAAAGAATGTGGGAATATGCACACATAAATAGAACTGTGCACAAAGTTCATAAGTAAAGTTCAACTGACCTTTGCTTTGAGTGAATAAATTATAAAAAAAGTAGGAAAAGTGGGAAATCAGTGTTAATGGCAAAGTTATTATGTCATCAAACGAAACAAAAACAAACGATTCAAACATTGGTATGCACATTGTACGTGTACGCATATTTTGTGTGTGCATACATATGTATGTGCAATGGTAATGACAACAGAAAAATTATTGTTGTATTCTTATTATTTTATTTTACTAGCTCACCAAATAGGGGTCATCATTGCATTAGGTGTACGTAAATTTAGAAAATAATATACAATACTATTATTATGAGTACAAGCTGGGTTGATAAGGCATATAGTGAAATAAAATTAGTTGCTAATTATAATAATAAATTGAATACTTATTATTATAAAAAATTAAATACTTATTGCAAAATGTAACTAATTTACCTTTGACTTGTTTCCTTCCAGAATGCCTTGCGAATTTTCTAATTGGTGAGGCTAAACTTGAAAACTACCTCGAAGAAAATGCACCCATCGAAAGTAATTTTGCCAAATCCAAAACTGGTCTACAAGATGCGCGACGCTGTTTACAGTTAGTTACCGGCGAAAATGGACAGAAAGCGGGCATTGCATTAGATGCATATTTACTATTGGCTAAGCTGTGCTATGCCTGTGGTGAATATGAGAAAAGTTTGGAAAACTTTGTTAAAGCTGAGCTCAATACGCTCGCTGAGAAAGAATTGACGCTGTAAGTTGCAGAATATCAGGAAATCCTTTGATATTAATTTAATTTTAATTTGAATTTTTTTTTTAATTTTAGGCGCAGTTTAAAAATCTTAGCAGAATCGTATGCCATTAAAGGTTTGTGTTTGGAAAATCAGACGAACAAGCCCACGTCAAAATTCAAAAAAGCGGAAAAGGAGGCAGAAATGGTAAAATATTCCTACAATATAATTCATGAAAGCATTTCTTATAGGTACTTGAAATTTTTTCAAATGCATTGCCAAAAATTTTCTCTCCAACAGATTACTTGCTTCGAACGTGCCACTGACTTGGGCCTGCTGTATTTGCAAGAGCAGGATATTGCCTCATATTCATCAGCGACGAACAGTGCCGCCAATGCGGGTTCAATGCTAGCCATTAATACAACTGGTAATATGAGTGGCATGCAGTCTTCATTGGGAGGCAGTAGCCTTACCATTAGCACCACCATACCTACCAATCCACTAGAACTTAAACGTCATATGGGTGCCATACTTGAAACGGCGCTGCAACGTGCACCTATTGTGCTCATCAAGGCGGGCAAATTGCAGGAAGCCATTGAACGATATCGCGCTATGTTGAATGCTATAGAAACAAAAACAACACAGTCATTGCGTTTAACACTGGCACGACAATTGGCGGAGGTGCTGCTGCGCGGCGTCTCAGGCACAATTTATACAGCACCCTTCACAAAGAAACCGGCAGGTCAAGCGTTACGTTCGACGGCCACAAAACGTTTGTGGAAACCACGAAAATATGCGGCACGAAATCAATTTACACCGCGCAATCATCATGAAGAAACACTACTGCTCTTATTAATTTCAGAAGCGTTAGCAGTACGTGATACAGTACTCTCACAAAGTCCAGAATTTCGTGTGGCACGTCAACATGCTATGGGTAACGCCTCTGCTGTTTATGATCTGCTCACACTCGCCACAGTGCGTTGGGGTTTAGTCAATATGTTGCAGGAATCATTTGAAAAGGCGCTGAAATTCTCATTCGGCGAACAGCATGTATGGCGACAGTATGGTATAAGTCTAATGGCTGCGGGCAAGCATGCGCATGCGTTACGTGTGCTGCAGGAATCTATTAAGCTGACGCCAAGTGATCCGCTACCCTGTTTGCTAGCAGCGCGTCTATGCTACGAGTCGCTGGCATTAATCAAAGAGGGTCTGGACTTTGCACATCAGGCGCTCAAGCGCGAAACAAAGGGTGAATAGCGTTAAACGACTAGAAAAAAAAACACCGATCTATTATTTTCACTATTTGCAGGCTTACGTCCCACACGCAGTCAACTTTTTGTCGGTATTGGCTATCAACAATTGGCTATACTCACCACACTCAAATCGGAACGTGATCAATACAATAAGCTGGCATTGGATGCACTTGAAAAGGCGGTACAAAACGATGACAACGATCATCTCTGTGAATATTATCTCTCATTACAATATGCATTAGTCGGTAATATTGCCGACGCGTTAACGCATGTACGTTTCGCACTCGCCTTACGTACCGAACATGCACCCAGTTTGCATTTATTCGCTTTGCTATTAACCGCATCGCGTCGTCCGCGCGAGGCATTGGGTGTTGTGGAGGATGCGCTCGATGAATTTCCAGACAATTTAAATTTACTGCATGTTAAAGCCCACCTGCAATTGCATTTACAAGACGCCGAATTATCACTGGTCTCAGTGCAAAAGATGCTTGCCATTTGGCGTGAATTGTACGAGGGACAAGTGTGTGTGGAGGAGGAAAAACACTCGGATACGAGAAGTATTGTGGTGCATGTGAATCCGAATGCGGTCTCATCGCAAATGTCCGACAAGGATTCGAGTAAGTTGAATGTTTAAAAAAAAACTAATATTTAAAAATATTATGGAGTAGTCGTCTAACATTTTTCTAAAATGACAAAAAGTAGCATTTTAATATTTCTTTTTCACGAAAATTCAAAAAAAATATCCAATTAATAAAAAGTTGTTTTTTTACTGAATTTCGCAAAAATTTCCAATTAAAAATTTTTTTATTTTTTAAAGAATTTTGCAAAAAATTTCCTATTAATAAAAAATTTAAAATTTTCAGCATTTAAATTTGAAAAAAATCAATATTCGAAATAATAATTGGAAGTGAAAAATTTTTTATGACATTAAAATTTAAACTCTCAAATTAGTTGCAAAAATTTTCTTTCAAATATTTCAGAAAGTAAAAAAATTTTAATTTTTTTATGTCAATATTTGTTTTACGAAATCTCTTCAAAAATGTCAAATTTTATGTCAATATTTTTTTTACGAAATCTCTTCAAAAATGTCAAATTTTATTAGATAATTTTTACAAAATTTTTCGAAAATTTACTAAGATCTTTTGAATTATTAGAATTTTCGATCTTTTCTGATATTTTTAAGTCATTTTACGTACTCTAATTCAGACTCTCACCTTAAACCAATGCGCCATTAATCATAAAAACTAAAATATATCTAAGAAATAGTTTTAAAATATAAACTAATTTCCATTTACTATACTTTACATGTGTATGTGTTATTTATTAAAAAAAAATACTGTCTAATAATATTCACTGTTGGCCACTTAACGCGCAACACCATATTTAAAATTGTAAGTGTAATTGTAAACTTAACAGTTTTTTACCGTAAAAAAATTCAAAACTTTTTGGCTATGCTTGCTAAACCACACACACACACATACATCATCACAGTTCAAATTACGAATTGTATTTGAAAATTAAAAAAAGAAGTGTTGTAAGCAAACCCACCTTCAACTACTAACTTGTTATTGTTATTTCAAAAAAATTAAAAAAAACATTAATCGTCAACTTTATTGCTACTCAAACTCTCAAGCGTTTCTTGGCTTGCACTAAACTTTATCAAATTTGCGTTGATTTTTTTTTTGTAGTTAAATGCATTCTACCACCTAATTTTATTTTCTATTAATCAATAATTTGTCAACTCGCCAACAGATTCTGTGTATGCTGCTTCATTGGCAGCAGTTTCACGCGTCGAACAGGCTCTGAGTGAAGCCGCCAGTTCGTTGAGTTCATTTACACCACGCCCCGGACCACAACGGCCTTGGATGATACAGATTAAAGTGAGTGCTTATGCGTTTCTTTTTTTAGTATTTAAAGTGAGTAATTTAACACATTTTTTCCACAGATTTGGTTACTCCTCGCAGATGCCTACCTGAATATCGAACAACCGCATGAGGCGCTGAATTGCATACAAGAAGCATCACAAATCTATCCGCTCTCTCATCAAATTATGTTTATGGTATGTTGAAGAATGAGCAAAATGGATATTTAACTTGCTGCTATGAGTGATTTAAGAAGGCAAGCTTAATTTTCGTATGCCGCCCAAATGTAATGAATACACTATAGGGGCTTGTGGAACTGTATACAAGAGCACGCCTTTACGGGGATCCTGCCCGAAAGGTATACTGTATAGACTTATTTGGACCTTTCCTTTCAACAGAATTCAAATCCAACCTTAAACAGTTCGTCTAAAATTTACTCTGCGACAGACTTGTCGTGGGTAGAGTTGTGCCCAACGAGAGCCCAATTAACCACAATAAAGCAGAAATTGTTTTATTTGCTACTATTTACTTCTTCCCCCAATATACCAGCTTGTAGTTCTTTTTTCGATAAATTATGAGGTGCAGCTAAAGACAGTTACAATAAAATAATTATACACATTTAGAAAAAATCTAACCTAACCTCAAATTTGGTCCGAGAAAAAAAATTTTAATACTTTGGGCGGGGAATACATTCAAATCCTTGCAACTAAATTTTTTTAAATTCTTTTTTTTGCTTTTAACTTTTTTATATTTTTTTCTTTTAATTTTTATTTTGTTTTACATTTTTTATTTTATGTTTTAAACTCTGTTTTTTTCCGCGTTTTATTTTTTATATTTTTTTTTAATTTTAATTTTTTATTTTTATTTTTTTTAATCTTTTTTATAAATTTTTTTAATTTATATTTTGGATTTTCATTTTTTTTTATTTATTTTTTTGTTTTAATTTTTTTTTTTATTTTTCTTATTTTATTTTTTTTTTTTTTTTTCTTTATGGAAAGGTCCCGTAGACGTATAGAGTTTTTCAACCTTTAAATCTTTTTCTGTTTTTATTTTCCTTTTATTTTTTTTTTTTTTTTTTTAATTTTTTTTTTTTTTTTTTTTTTTTTTTTTTTTTATTTTTTTTTTTTTTTTTTTTTTTTTTTTAATTTTTTTTTTTTTTTTTTAAGGAAAGGACCTATAGACTTTCTTTCAACAGAATTCAAATCCAATCTTTTAAACTTTTTTTGTTCTAAGTTTTTTATATATTTTTTTAACTTGTTTTTTTATTTTAAATTTTTTATTTTCCCTTTTTCATTTTACATTATTTTTATTTATTTTTTCTTAATTTTCTTAATTTGTTTATTATCTTTTTTGTATTTCTTTATAATTTTTTTTAATCTTTTTTATAAATTTTTTCTATTTATTTTTTGCATTTTCATTTATTTATTTATTTTATTTTTGTTTTAAATTTTTTTTTTCTTTATGGAAGGGGCCTGTAGACCCATAGACTTTTTCAACCCTTAAATCTTTTTTTGTTTTTATTTTTTTTTTTATATTTTTTGAATTTTTTTTTAAATTTTTATTTTTTTGCGCGTTATTTTTTTGTAATTTTTATTTCTTTATATATTTTTTACATTTTATACGAGTATATATTTTTTATATTTTTATATATATTTTTATATATGTTTTTTAATAATTTTTTTGTATCTTTTTATTTATTTTTTTTTCGAATTCAAATCCAATATTTTAAACTTTTTTTTTGTTCTAAGTTTTTTATACAAATTTTTTTAGCGTGTTTTATTTTTTACATTTTTTTATTTTTCTCTTTTTTATTTCACATCATTTTTTTTTTAATTTTTTGTGCGTTATATATTTTATATTTTTTTAATTTTTTTTTTTTAGTTTTTTTGTACAATAAAATTTTTAATTTTCTTAATTTTTTATTTGTTATAAATATAATATATATATATAAATATATGTATATATGAAATTTTATATTTATAATTTTGTTTTTATATATTATTTTTTTTAGTATTTTTTTATATTTCTTTATAAGTTCTTTTAAATTTTTTATATTTTTATAATTTTTTTAAATAAGTTTCAAATTTTTTTATATTTCCTAATGAATATATTTTATTATAATTATTTTTTTTTTTTTTGGTTTTACATGTTTTTTATTTAACATGTTTTTTTTTATTTTTTATTTTTTTTTTTGTATATATTTTGATATTATTTTTAATTTTAATTTTTTAAATTTTAATTTTTTTTTAATTTTATTTTTTTATTTTATTTGATTGCTTATTTTTTTTATTTATTTTTTTTTATTTTTTATTTATTTTTTTTATTGTTTTTTTTTTCTAGTTATTATCTTCTCCTAATTTCTTCACTTTCATTCATATCCTTTACAGCGTGGTCAAATTTACTTGTATCTCGAACAATGGAACGATGCAAAACAGTGTTTCCTTAACGCCGTCTCAGCCAATCCAAATCACACGGAGGCACTACGGGCCCTCGGCGAAACTCATCACGTGCTGGGTGAGCCGCGGTTGGCGGAGAAAATGCTAAAGGATGCTGCACGTTTGGATCCCAACTGTCCGAAGATATGGTAGATTTGTTTTGGGAATTTCTTCAATTTTTAGACTAATTTAATTAATAAATTTTTTTTTTCTTCTTTCATCTTTGACACAGGTTCAGTATGGGCAAAGTTATGGAAACGCTGGGTGATTACACTGCCTCTGCTGATTGTATGGCAACAGCATTGCAATTGGAGCCAACATGTCCAGTACTTCCATTTACCTCAATACCACTGACCTTCGATTGAGTGCGACAAATGCAAAAGCAGACCATTTCGTTTATTGTTATTGTCATTTTTAATGTTGTTTGGTGGTTGGTGGTAGTGCAATGATTTAAAATGCGGATGTATGCTGAATATGTACACACCATACTACATATATGTAAGCAAACTAATAACAGGACAGAAGTTAATGTGCACTTAACGGTTTGGTAGTGTGTGTATGTGCGTAGAAAACATTTACTTTAACTAACAAATTATAACTTAGTAAACTTTATTGGTGTGTTGTATTATTAGCAAATGTTACACTAGTTAATTGTTAATTATACACCGTTAAACTCTTCTTTTTTTTTGTAATTTATTCATTATATATTTTATATATAATATAATTACATACATGTATATTATATATTGTAGAAATTTTAAGTGTATATGTGCGTAATTAACTTAAAGACATACGGTAATTGACGGGACCCTTCAGTTTAGAAATGTAGTTTCATTTAGAACAAAAACAACAACTAAAATAGAACGAGTTTGAATATTGCAATATTTAAAAATTGAATTGAAAATACTAACTGTAAATTGTTAGAAGAAAAATTGTGTGTTTCAGGAATTTATAGTTATACATTTATCTATATGCATACACATACACACATATTTAATACATTTATCAATAATTAATATACATTTGCATATACTTATATACATATACCTCCTAAACAAACGTATGCACATAATACAAGAAAAATAACTGTCTAAATATTATTGTATTTAAGAAGTAGTAAAATATTTACAATTACATAATCCTCATTCCTTATACCTAACAAATACTAGTATCAATATACATAAATACATACATACTCATATACTTATATATGAATGAATAAATATATCAATAGTTATGCTAATATTACAAAATTAATAATATGTATGTTAATGCATAAAGTGTAAGTGTTAAAATCATTTAAAAAAAAGTATTTGAAACTGGATTTATTCTCAGAAATTGTGGTGCGAGGCCGTTTTGAAAGCAAAAAATAAAAGTTTATTTCATGTACTTTATTGTTTTTTTTTTTAGCTTTTGAAATTGAGTTTTAAAAGATAAATACGATTTTTTGTTACTTATAATTTTTCGCTTCAATCTTAACCTCACTTTTTCAAACAAATAACTTTCCAAAAATGCGGTTTAACAAAATTTAAATTCATTAAATTTGTCACAATTAATCAGTAAATTACGTTTTTTTTTCTCTTTCTCCTCAAACATACACTCAGCGTTTTTAAATAAAAGTTTCAAAAATACAAATTAACGTTATTAAATATTATTTTAGTTTAGTTAGTGTTACATAAAAAACTAAGCCCTCTCTATTCCATCTGTCATCACTTGATTAATTAATTAATTGTACATTTAATTGAAAATAAAACGAAGAACGTCTCCAATTCGTTATACCTTGAAGTATTACCAGTAGCCAACTGATTTTTAATGAGCAGCAATAGACTTTTCCACAGGAGGAGAAGTTAAAAGGAGCATTAAAAGTTTACAATTAAAAACATTATATATTTACATATACTTGTATATGTTTATAACTTTATTTATTAATGATTGAAAAATAAACTGAAATTTGGTTGCAACAGAGAAGTTGAAACAATTTGATTTATGTAATTTTATTTTGTTTTAAATATTAATTTCCAGCTTTATCATTACACATTTTAACTTTTTTTTTTAGTTAACAGTTCTGAAATACATCAGCAGTAGATGTACTCAAAAGTTCTTTGCTGCCTGTAACGCTCGCTCCTCTTCCTGTTTCTCTTCGGCCATTTGCTCCAATCGCTTCATTTTTATTTGTAAACAAAAATTTTGCATTTGTTCCTTATACGTAATGTACATGGCTATCATAGACTGGCCCGCCAGCGCTGCACCAAGTACCGGTAAAATTGGTTTTGTCATATTTTGCCATAATTTGAATACAGCTAGTGGTTCCTTTATGACCGATGGCAGGCGATACGTGTAGTGACGTGTGGCAAACATGAATGCGGCAAATGGTGCTAAAATTGTTGGATAGATAACACCTGCACCACCTTGAAAGACGGACGCACGCAATTGTAAACAAAGCGGACACTCTGCGTGTTGATCCAATATGACAAAGCGTTGTACAAAGAATTTATGTGTCAGCACAGAGAACATGGCAGGTATGACAACGATTGGCAGGTAAGTGGATGCCTTACCATAACTGCCCAATTTCACTTTGCGCCGGTAATGATTGTTTACGTAAATGCCCGTAGCAGCTGACATCGCACCGAGTATGCCAGGTCCATAGCGCAAGCTCCATACATCCCAGCGATTTTCCCAATTCGATATGACATTCCATTGGTAGGCTAGTGCTTCTTCCTCATTGATAATAACTGCATCTTTGGGTATGTCATCTTTGGTAGCGTGTGATAATGCCATTTAAATATATATTAAATGCGATGATTACGTATGTGAGAAACCAATGTGTTTCTTGTTGGACTTATTCGATTGTCAACAGCTGATTTGAATTGGGGGGTGGTGGGCAGGCGCTATTCTTTTTTTATTCGTATTCAAGCTGCCACTTTTGTCATGATATACAGATAAGAATATCATTTTATCATGGCAAATAGGAAGTCTATAAACAAATATGGCTTACAATTTCTACTAATACAATATTTGTACGTTTGCTTAATATATTTTTTTTTAAATCTTATCAACATAAGCTGTAAATAATGTTAAGCACAATTTCCTGTCATTTAGATAACCCTGTGCCTCAGCTGTTCGCAACTGTCTTCTTATCTGTCATCAGCCAGAGAACGTATAACATAGAGAAGGTGCAAAGCCAGCGTTTCTGACATTTCTGGCAGAAAAATTTCGTTTGATGTAATCGTCATTTCCTTCTCGTCTTGAATTTCTGTTTCACCTCGATATGAAAAATTAACAGAATTGAGCGTATTCAAACACAACAGAGAACTAAAATCTATGCATATGTAAATTAACAGCCGCTTTTATTTACTTTTATCACATATAAATGACCAAATTGAATTCAAATTTGAAATCATCAATTAATTACTGATAAAATTTTAACAATTTTTAATAAATGTGTATTTCTTAAGGACAGTATCATTTGTTAATGATTTTAATTTCTTTTAGATGACCTTTTGCATGTACATGTGAACATATACTCACATGCTTATTATGTACAAACATATGCATATGTGAAAACAAATTACTCCATCCCTCTAGATACTTCTCTTGTCTAAAAGCTCAGAATTGAAATCAAATACAACAATAAGATTCTCATTCATAGACGCCTGCGCCCTACAACAAA